GACTCATTAGAATTACCAGGAACTGACTGATTTCCGCAGGCTTTGGACCAGGCCGAGGCTCCCTTGGCCAGGCAGATGACTTGGCGTCCAACGCAAGCTTACAGTAAGCACAAGCAACGAGGCTTTGCATCTAAACCCACACAGCTTTCTACAGCGTGCAACGCGAGTTGCTCCCACATGAAGATGCGACTTCCAAGTCGTGTTATCAAGAAATATTCTCCGCCTTTGGTGTAATTGTTCAGTAATATGCATTTTGTGTACGGAATAAAACAGAAATGCTGACAGGCTGGCTTTTATGGCTGCTGACACCATCTTTCTGAGCATAGCTGTGCAAGTTGTGCTGACACAAACCTTCTCCTCGAGAACAGCTGCTGTTGCCTGCTGCTTTGGAGAGGGGACGGGGGTGTTTCTTTTCTCTCTTTCTTTGCCTCCCATGGAGGACTCCAAAGTGCCGGCTGTGCTGACAGGGCTGAAGTATCCACCAACGCCTAGTTATGCCACAGATGTGAACGTGTAAAAGAGAAAGTCAGTTCCCTTTCCGGCTTCATTCTCCATTTTTCTTTCAGATGATTAAATAATCCCACACTCAGCAATATTTGGATAAGATGGACAGCCATTAGAAGTGCTCCAGTAGAAGCTGATTAAAGCATTACGCCTATTCTTCTAAACTTGCACACACTCGGGATGGGCAAAATTCCCACAAGAATTCAGATATCAGGCACCATTTGCTTGAATGTTAGTGAGCACATTCACAGAAGACAAGTGCAGCTAGAGGGTAAAGCGTCAGCTTCTTGGGCTCAGCATTTCGGGGCATAGCCAGCGTGTAAGTGCTTCAAAAGATACTCAAGGAGCCTCTCAGCTCCTTATTCAGCACTGATAATTAAGAGCTCATGTCTCTCGTTCATCGACACAGTGCTTAAGGATATGCTTAAAAGTGTTTTGCTGATTTAGGGCCTCAGCAATGTCTCTGAGTGCCCACAGCTCCTCCTTGAAAGGAAAAGTGCATTTGGGTCCTGGAGGAACTGATGTGCTTTACAAAGTCTTTGCTGACAGTAAACACAACAGAAACTTCATTCCTTAATTTGGATACCCTACAGCAATTATTGCCAAGTCGTGCCTGGGTCAATACAGTAGGCATATTTGAAATTCAAGATTTTCCTGAGTTATGAATGCTCTTTTATTATTCCTACAGTTGCTCTAACACAGTGCAAGTTCGATCTTCTGACTTTCTATCCACCCTGTTACTTACAAAAGTGTTTCAAGCTCACCGATTTGTCAATGGAGCAGGCCTTCACACGTGTGAAGGCTTCAAGTGTGGCACCCACCAACAGTTTGGTTGTTTAACCTGAGCAAGAGCTAAGAGCTCCTTAAAGACAAATTAAAAAAATAATAAAGAAGTCATGGTAACAGTGTTGCACAATCACAAGTTACAATAAATAAATAAATACCTGTACTGTAAAATACAGTAATACCAGGATGCTAAATCCGAGACTGCCATGTCTTCTTACCGATTGCAACAGAAGTTTTATGTCAGCAGACATCAGGCATATGCTCAGATTTTTCTTCCCCTGTTCATACCACAGAGATGATTATATGTTGAATAACATAATAGCTGTCCTGTGCAATCGTCCTTGCTGCAGACAGAAATCAACAAACCCATGTCACTTAGCTCAGTTGCAGACAGACAGAAAACCTGGGCAGAGGGATGAATGGACCTCGTTCTCACCAACAAGATGGGGACTGGAAGAATGATGAACTGCCCACTGTAGGAGAAGATCAGGTGTGTGACCAGCTAAAGGAACCTACGGGTGCACATTTCATGAATCTGTAAAATGTTGCAGTGCCAGACCAGCCAGAGTTTTCTTGTAATGCCAGCTACCAAGACTTGCCTCATCTTGACCTTTTGTTGTAAGCACCAATGAAAGCGAAATGATTCACAGCTCCCCAGCATCCTGAATGTACTGCCAAAATAAATAAATTTGGATAGAAGAAATAATCTTAGGTTTTAACAAAATGAAAATGAGAAATGAAGTATCCCCAAAATCTCCAGGGTTTAGGATTGCTTACAACCTTCAGAAAAAAAAAAAAATATTTCCCTTTCCTACATTGAAGGAATGATGTGGAGTCCTGTGCCATTCCTAAAAAGCCATCTGAAATGGTCTGATTTATCATCTTGTCTTTAGCTGCTTTTTCTCAGACATTTCCTCCAGAACACAGTGGGGCAGAGGAGGTACTCATAGGGTGACAAAAATAACTTGAAAAGGGCCAGCAAAATGAAAGATGCAAACACAGCCAGCCTCTGTCAACTGTACAGCTTGGGGTCAGAGAAACATGCAAACAGCTTTGTGCTTCTGTCAGGATTGAAGGGCTCACCTCTCCCCACCTCCAAAAACAGGGAACTTGACAGGGAAAATAAAAAGTTTATGAAACCTACAGGCTGATCAGCAGCAAGACTGTGGTAACCAGTTGCTGGCACGTTAGGAGGATTTTACAAAAGCAAACCCTGTCCATTATGCAAGCTACTGTAAACATTTCTGCCTCAAAAAAAAAAAAAAAAAAGTCCCAAAATAGGCCAAATCTGCTGAAATTCATGGACTAGCTAGCTGCGAAAACATTTCAGACTGCCTTAACTGTCTATCTCCTCTATCATAAATGAACGGGGAGATTAGGCAGGGTACAGCATTCACCTTGAATTAAAGCAGAAAAATTACTTGCTTTTTCAGCAACACAGCCCTGAAATAGGAAATGACAGTCAGAAAACTAGAATATCCTGAGGTGGAAGGGACCCACAAGGATTATCGAGTCCAACTCCTGGGTCCACAAAGCACCACTGATAAATCAGACCATGTATTTGAGAGTGTTGTCCAAGCGCCTCTTGAACGCCGGCAGGCTTGGTGCCATCAGCACTGCCCTGGGGAGCCTGTCCCAGTGCCCAGCCACCCTCTGGGTGCAGACCCTTTCCCTAACACCCAGCCTGACCCTCCCCTGTCCCAGCTCCATGCTGTCCCCTCGGGTCCTGTCACTGTCCCCAGAGAGCAGAGCTCAGCGCCTGCCCCTCCACTCCCCTCGTGAGGGAGCTGCAGGCCGCCATGAGGCCTCCCCTCTGCCTGCTCTGCTCAGGGCTGAGCAAACCAAGGGACCTCAGCTGCTACTCATAGGTCTTGCCCTCCAGACCCCTCACCATCTTTGTAGCCCTCCTCTGGACACTCTCTAGTAGTTATATCCTCACTCATTAAGACCTAACCTTTGCCACTACATCATTATCTCCCATTATTTTCAGTTTTGCCTCAAGGCAGCATCAGAAAGGTATTTCATGTATTGAAACCAAAGGACACAACCTGCACGGAAGCAGGGCTGTGCAGCTGGGCAGCCACAGGGCAGGCAGGATGGGTGGTGCAGGGTGTCAACACAGATCCTCCTTCCAAATGATCCTGCAAAAGACCGAGGAAAATACAAGGAACACCTCATGGTCTGATATATGCTATCAATGTTGCAGAGTTGTCCCAGAAACATTTCTCCAAAGAAGTATTATGTGCAAAAAAAAAGCCTTCCAAATTGTTTTTTGTTAGAAGACAAGAATTCTGAGAATAGCTTGATTTGATGCAGGTGGTTTGGGCAACACATACCTGGACCCCTGGCTGCTTATTTGCTCGTTGTTCAGGATCCCCGAGGAGAGAACGTTTTGATGCATTAACTCCCAGGCTAATCAGGCTGTTAGTCTTTGCTGTCCCCAGCATCTGCCTTTGATGGTGTAGGGTTCAGAACAACAAGATACAACTACGTTCTTGGCAGATGACCTGGCACTCTTAGAAGCGATCAACAGCAGGTTGTCACTGGCCCAGTGTGGGAGGATTAGTGCTTCATCATGGGGGAATCCACACAAAAGGACTTTAGTTATAGATGGTCCTTTCCAGGCAATTGCAAGTTTTCTCTGCACCGGCTGGATTCAAGCCTGTGTCAAGTGATAGGTCTAGCTAGTCCTTTCTTCGAAAAAGCTCTTATATTTTTCTGCCTTTTGATTATATATATGCACATTGTCCACCTTTTGCCTTCTGAGTCCTCTTGTGCAGGATTTCACGCTGTCTCCTCTCCTATGAAATCAGCTGCTGGGACACCACATTAACCAGTACGCTCTGTCCTTACCCAGGTTTGGGCTTCTCTTCTTCTCCCAAGACTTCTCTCGAATCAAGCCATCCTCAAATTGCTTCTGCTGAGTCTTTCCATGAGCTCATTTCTAGTTGCTGGCAACCATGTCAACTTCTGCCCCTTACTGGACAACCACCTTCTTCACCACCTTATTTCTTCGAGTTGTTTAGTCCCTTGACAATAAAATCCAAGATGTGGAAGACAGATCATCTGAGGGTTGGCACTGATTTCCTGCTGTTGGGGTCAGAGAAGCTCCCTGGAGCCAGAGCTGCAGACAAAAAGCATTACACAGCCACAGAGCAGGATAGCCCTGTCTGTTGAATGTTGATCTCCATAGGACCGACAGCATCAGCAGGCATTACATTTGTCCTTTTGGCTCTCTGAAAAGTTCTCCTCTACTTTAATTTCTACACGATCTACTCTTAATTCTCTTTTTTCACCACCACATTTCCCACAAGAAAAGCATATCCCGAGCATAACCGGATGCTTCTATGCTTAAGAAATGTGAGGCAGATATAATTAGAAAAACAGACGCTCAAGTGGGGTGTATGTAAAGGTCTTCAGATTATAAAACCACAGTAATTTCCATAAACAAGCAGTGGAGTGAAGTTGGTCAGAATATGGGAAGTTAGAGGGGGTGGACAGCACACACAGGTTGGGATCCTTCTGGTTTCGTTGAAGATGTCAAGATTTCAACAACTGCTTTCATTTTGGAACCAGGTGGATCAGAAACATTCATTTCAGCCTCCCATATCCTGGCTGAGTTCCACCATTTGTGCTGCAGATTTGCCCCTCATTGTCCATGCACAAGTCACAGTCTGGATGCAAGCACAGTTATCAGAAGCCCATTCAAGTAGAGAGTATTTCCACAAAAGGGTTTTATTTTCAAACCACCAAGTACTTGTCTATGCCTAAACCCTGCATGTTATTATTAAAACAGGTTGTGATTTTAAAATACAATTGAAAAAAACATCTAATTATTTTTGGAAACTCCTGTTACATTTGCACACATTTTCCAGAGCCAGGTCATGTACAACTAAGTCCTAGAAGCCAGCTAACCAAAAAGCCAGTGGTTCCTGCTTGAAGAAAAATGAAGCTTCCTTCTCCTGCATGTATCTTTTGGTATCTCGGTCCAAATACAGCCCTTAAATACCAGGCTAGATAGCTAAGGCAGGTGGTGAACCAGCCCTGCTGGTGATGTTCATACACATTCATTGTTCTTTCACATTAACCTGAAGTGAAATGGAACCAGACACTTCAATTGTCTCTTAAAAGTTCAGGTGGGGAAAAGAGCGGGAGGGGAATGCTTCAAGGACACACAGGTCCAGCCCATTACACCAGCTCTATCAGGATTTTAGCTCTTTATAAATCTCAGAGCACACAACCCATGACTCAGTCTCACATCCCTGCAGAACTAGAAAACATGTTAAAACAGCGATACTAAGAAGCCTGTGAAGGCCTCATGAGAAATCTTTGCATGCTATGGGACTCTTGACTCAAACAGACCAAAGTGAGATCCTTACTGCCTCCTTTTTTTCCCCGTAAGAGAGGCCTCCCCTTTGCTAGACACAAATAGAGATTAGAGAGGGATGGAGAGGAATAAAACCAGCCTCATGCTGTCTGAGACAAGGCCAGCGACATCAAATAGATCAAAAAGATGTCATGATCAACCATAAAAATGCTGCTGAGAAGTCCAAAGAAGAAAAACAAACAAACAAAAAAACAAATAATAATTAAAAAATAAAAATAAAATAAAACAACAAGAAAATCTCACCCATGGCAATCAAGGAACCACTGTAAACTTTCATACACCTGAAATCCAAATATATTTTTCAACCTGCTCACACAGTATTACAGGTGATGATTACAGCACAGTTCCTCTCATTTTAGATTGAAATGAAAAACAGAAATTGCATTTTTGTTAAAATAATCAAAATAAACCTTGCTTTAAAATCAGTTGACAAGTCCACGATGTGAAGTGGGAACTTGTACATTCCTCTGCAGGCCACTAGCTTGCTTGCTGTAAGTAATGCATTTGAGATATTTTCAGATATCATTCCAGCCTGAAAACGTACTCAAAGAAACCAAATATTGGTATACATATTTTCAAGCCCTAACCAATACATTTCATTTCCCACCTCAGGATTTCCACAGATTTGTTCTATTGTATGTATCCAAAACATTAGATTTGCTCCTCAAAGACTTAAAAACCACTCAGTCCAAGTCCCCGAGCCAGACCATTTCCTTTTTACTGCCAAGAATCTGGAGTTTCTGTTCCGGCTGCCAGTAATTACTCGGTTCCTGTACACAAAGATGTAAATCCTTGCTGTTCTCCATTCAGATTTGTCTTTGAAGATTCTTTGTGGACTTCACTGGGGAACTTTCCATTCAGTTTGTCGCTGGAGTTTCCTGGACTGACAGTTCAAACATCAACTTCAATTTGTCTTTAAAACTCCTCACTTTTAATCCTTTTCCTCCCCCACTTGGAAGAGCTCAGCAGTTCATAGAAAAATCTTACCAGATATTTTCCATTCGCTTTCTTTTGTCCTCCGAGTTTTGGTCGTGCTCCCTCCCTATCCTGAGACACGCACAGCGTGCACCGAGCTCCCACAGCTCTAAGCAATTCTCTGAGCTAGAGAGCAGCAAAGCCCCACTGAGGAGTGTTCAGGCTGACATATGTACATCTCTGCAGGAAAAATAAACATCGGGTAAGGTATAGGTCAGTGCACATTGGTGGAATAAGGTTTGCCACTAGGAGAAACAGAACAGAGATCTGCGTTAGCAACAGAGTTCCTCTCCCTAGGTTTAGTATTAGTTTAGTCTCCCTCAGTTGGGTCACTTGTTGAAACTTTCAGAGGGCTTGCAAACTTCAGCAAGAGAAGGCTGATGTTCCAAGTGCAAAGCAGGCGCTGAACACCCCCAGGACAGGCCTTTTCTGGAGCCAGAGGCACTATGATGGTCGTCAGAAGGGCCAGGCCCTGTGGAACCAGCCCGACAGACCTCCAGACACGAACACGACTACTCAGCAAGGAGCAGATCCGTCTGGTCACTCCTCACAAACCTGTACCCTCTGACTCACACCCGCTCTGAGTGGCACCAGAGACAACCAGCTTTGTCACGTCTAATTTCAAGGGCTGCATGCTACGCACAATTTACCCCAAGGCAATAAAACATTATCTATTTCAATTTAGATTTGATCTGCGCTTCCGTGCAATCTGCACATAAAGGACACCGTAGCATTTCATCAATTGCACATATTGAAGCTGCAAGATCTTAATTAGCGGCTCCATTAATGTCAATGCAGTGAGTGTGGTCACTGCTACAAAGAAAAAAAAGACATGAAAAATCTACCACTGTGTTTCATCCGCACTCTGTGAACGAAGCATTAGATTATGGCATCTCAGTATCCTCACCAAATCTGTTTGCAAGGTAGGCAAGATGCAGGTTGGAAATGAGGAGACATCTCTTCTCAGAAAGAGCAGTCAGGCACTGGGATGGGTTGCCCATGGAGGTGGTGGAGTCACCGTCCCTGGGGGTGTTCCAGGAAAGGTTGGACGTGGTGCTTAGGGACATGGGTTAGTGGGTGACATTGGTGGTAGGGGGATGGTTGGACCAGCTGACCTTGGAGGTCCTTTCCAACCTTAATGGTTCTATAAAGCTAAACTACTTACAGAGTTCATAGTCATACTGAGTCATCTGTTTCTAGCCAAGGAGAACAAGAATTTCACAGATCCTGAAATTATTTCATTTGTCAACATCAACCTAGCCCTGTCCCACCAGCACTGAGTTATCTTAGCAGCATTTTTTCAAACACCTGAGCCAGTGGGTGCTTTAGGATGTGCAGAAATAACTCAAGAATGGCAGCCTTCAAATGATGCAAAGCCCAGAAGTCAGCTGGTGATGGTGCTCATTTCACAGCAGCAGCATCATTAAGGTTGGAAAAGACCTCCAAGATCATCTGGTCCAACCATCCCCCTACCACCAAGGTCACCCACTAAACCATGTCCCTAAGCACCATGTCCAACCTCTCCTTGAACACCCCCAGGGACGGTGACTCCACCACTTCCCTGGGCAACCCGTCCCAATGCCTGACTGCTCTTCCTGAGCAGAAATGTCTCCTCATTTCTAACCTGAACCTCCCCGGTGCAACTTGAGGCCATTCCCTCTAATCCTATCACTAGGCCGGCCCCCAGCTCCCCACCCCTTCCTTTCAGGTAGCTGCAGAGAGCAATAAGGTCTCCCCTGAGCCTCCTCTTCTCCAGACTAAACACCCCCAGTTCCCTCAGCTGCTCCTCACAGGACTTGTGCTCCAGGCCCTTCACCAGCTTCATAGCCCTGCTCTGGACACGCTCCAGGGCCTCAATGTCCTTCTTGTAGTGAGGGGCCCAGTGTGGCCTCACCAGAGCCAAGTATAGGGGGACAATCATTTCCTTAGTCCTGCTGGCCACACTTTTCCTGACACAAGCCAGGATGCCGTTGGCCTTCTTGGCCACCTGGGCACACTGCCAGCTAATGTCCAGGCAAGCAATGACCAACACCTCCAAATCCTTTTCCTCTGCACAGCTTTCCAGCCTCTGTCCCCCAAGCCTGTAGCGTTACATGGGGTTGTTGTGACCAAAGTGCAGGACCTGGCAGCACTTAGCCATGTTGAACATCATCCTGTTGGCCTCTGCCCAGCAAAAAACTCTTCCCTGGCCGGGAATCGAACCCGGGCTGCGGCGGTGAAAGCGCCGAATCCTAACCACTAGACCACCAGGGAGGGATAAGATGCATAAATAAGGATCTGAAATCATAGGTAAAATGTTGAATTGTTTTCAGCTTTACATCTGGTGAAGTGGAAGGTACTCCTGCTGACGGAAGCAAGCTGACTTGGCCTGGAGCTGACTTGTGTGCTGCAATGTACCTCTGTACCCCAGCTACCTGGGTGTGAACGCACAAACTGCCCTCTGCATGTATGTCCATGCTCAAAACCACCACCAGAAGAGGTGCTGCAGGCCTGCTTGGAGCTGGTGGGAGGATGGCATCGCACCAGAAGCACAAGAGGGAGCTTTTAGCAGCTTTTATGATCATGCTGCACTAGGTCTTGCAGTAAGGACATCCTTTGTTCTTCCCCAGTAGTATAAACAAGCAGTGTGATCTCTGAATCACTGTGAAAGGCTGCAACATAATGAGGCAAACCAGACTGTGATTTTATGATTTTGGGAAACAATCTTCATTGCAAAAAGAAATACTGTTTTTTCTGTTTCTTTGCTTCGTGTATCCTCCCTGGTGAGAAAGCATCATCTTCTTTCGCAAAAGAGAAAATGAAGTGCAGAGACTGTCCAAAGCCAGGATTAGTCCCTCTTTCTGCAGTATTATTTCAACACCTTAATAACAGGATGGAGGCAGCAGCAAAAATTTCCTGTTAACTGCAGCAGGAACAAAACTATTTCCTCCCGTGGAGTGGAGTGAGTGTTGCAAGTGTACGGCTTACGCAACACAGCCTCACTCAACTCTCCCTTTTGGAGTGAAAGGAGATGTAATTTAGCCATCACGTTACACTCTCTAAAATAAGCCAGCCCTCAACTCTTCTGAGATACTCTGTGGCCACGGACTGCACTGGTTAGTTTAACTTCGCCCATTGTATGAAGCGATTGCTACAAAAGCCTATTTCCATTTAATTCAGGCTAACAAAGCAAAATAAGGAAATAAAAGCCTAACTGTAGCTAAGTAGGTCTTGGATAGGGCCCAGAGCTGACAAGAAGCAAAGTTTCACACAAGAATAAAAGAAGCTTCAGCTTCTGCATTCTGTTTATTAAAAGTGCTTTTTTAAGAGACTCGGTGTACAAGGAGGTTTATAAAAAGAAAAATCTAAGTTGGAAGGAAGCAAGAACTGAAGCAAAAGCATTTGTTCAGATGTTAACTAAGTTAATCTATTTTAAGCTTTAATATGTTTTAATTAATGCTATTATACATTCATCTGCTTTTTGCATATAAATGCACATTAATATCAGATGTTCCACACCTGTTTACATTTTGCACAAGGCCAGTTGCTTTTACATGTTTTTTTTTTTTATCTCAATTATAGCAGAGAAATTTCAGATCTAGAACCTGCTCATTTGAGGGGCAGCTGTAACAGATGTCCGCAGAATGTCTTTTTCTTCCCCTCTTCCATTCAAAGCAAACCCTTTGAATTTAGAACAGAGGTCTTCAAAGTACAATAGCTTGTGATACTACTTTTAAATTCTCATGCACTGAATTAGAATCACTGACAGCGAAATTTCCTGCATAAAAGCAATCCTCAACTTTTGTATAAGCATCAAGGACAATTGTTGCCCTCTTTCACTGTATTATCAAGGAAGTGTTTGTACTGAAAAGGAACAGGGTTATTATTTTCCTCTCTCTGGATAAGAAGTCACCTCTCTTTCCCCTTCACCTCTCCTTTCCCTCACTAGCAGCACTTTAAAACATAACTTTTTTTTTTTTTTTAAGTTTCACCTGTGTTAAGTTTGGATATTGTAATTTTCACTAGCTCCTACACTGAACAATAAGAAAATATAAGTAATAACTATCCTCTTCCTCCTCATTCAGAATCAATCAATTGATCAAACACGTTGAGCTTAACACGTAAGAATGATACTCTCCTGAGCAGTGCCAAGAATAACATGGAGAAAGTCAGTTTTGCATCTTGGCACATGTTAAGGAAAAAAAGCCCATGCCTACAAACAAAGATTTCCCACAGATGACTTGCCGTGGTAGCTCTCCAAATTACATCTCTGTGGACCCAATCCAAAACTCATTACAGGCAACAGGGTTTTGAAAAAGCCCTGTATGTTTCTTCACAATGGGAAAGCTCGATGTTTAATTGATCGACTGCAGAGAAGCTTCAACTCTTTCAAGTCTGAGATTAACAAGAGAAAAGGACATTTTGCTTGCTTTGGGCTTGGCAAGTGATACCTGGGAAAAACAAAACAACAACAAACACACACAAAAAAAACCACGTATGATCTAGGAATAACCTAATTTATACAATGCTCAGCCTTGTGCAAATACATCAGAGGATACCATTACAATTAAAGGTGTGGAGGCAGCAAAATTACTGGTAGCTCCCCATGTCCAACACAATTTGCTTACTAGACTTCACAAACAAAGCTTTCAAAGAAACAGAAGCACGAATGGATTTCAAGAAATCAAGAATGTTAATTAAAACAATTTTATCTGAATTTATCTTAGCACCACACCTGCAATTGTTTTCAAACAGCATTAATAGAATACCAAATAAAATGCAAAAATATACAAATACCTGTGATTTCACCTTCTTGTATTAGGATTTTATGGTCTGTTTATAGTAAACTCCATTTTTGCCCTTCAGAAAAGTGGCCATATTTGAAGGAATTACCATTTTAGGCAACAGCATCACAGTGGTGGAGTAAGCTATTACTCAGCTGATTCAGATAAAAGCTGGCTTGCTTGTTTAATTTTCATCTGGGTCAAGCCACTGAGCTAGCTGGCTGTTTAAACAAACATCAGTATCAGCACAAGTTAAAGGACAGGAAAGAGTGGCCAGGGAAGAATGCATGAGAACAGCTCCAACACTCCCAGCTTACACTGATAAAATCAAAGATGGAATTTCACCATTAGCCAACAAATAGGTAATGCTAAATATAGAGAAGTTTTTCCTGTCTGACAGAAAATAATGGTTCCAAACCTAAAGCAAATCTAAATAAAACAATAATAAAAACACACAAAACTTCAGGATGATACTTCCTTTCAAGGGGAGGTCTTTCCTCAGCAGCACAGCCTACCAGCAGTGCTGTCATACAGTGGAGGATGTAGCTGTGTGCTCCATCACCCTTGGAGATCTCTCTCTGCCAAGGGAACCATGTGTGTTAGGAAATGCTACCCTCTATCGTTTGACTAGCCTGAACAGCTCATTTCTCCTTAAAACAGTCATTTTGTAAGACTAACTTGACTTGTAACATCACTATACAAATCATGAGTTAAAACCCCACAAACCTGAAAAAATGGTACTAGTTACTGCACGGCCAGACCTCAACTCATGAACATACTCCTTGGCTACAGAATTAAGACCCCATAACTCTGTTTTCCTCTCCAATTCATTTTTCCAAAAAATTATTGCTTCAAATCACGTACCTTTTTTTAATCGTGTGCTTTTTTTGAGATCTGCCTAATGGTTTCACTTCTTTTTCATCCATTTTGCAGAAAATCCTTACATGATCTTCTACCATTTTGCTGTTCTCTTTCTACCTCCATCACTTTCTGAACCCTGATATTTAAACTCTCTAGAACATCTCTTATACCAGAGATTTTTATTTAAACACCTTTGCTAAAAAGCTGAAGCAGCGGGATCTTTAGACATAAGAATGCTATCACAAAAGGAGCTAGAAGGTGATCTTTGAACTTAACTGCATTATGAGAAATTTCTTAGAAAGCACAAAAGATGTCCCTTCCAATAAAGAAATAAAAAAGTAGGGGAATAATATTCTTTCTGCCAAAGTCGCTGCTTAAGAATAGCTGTAAAATTACATTTCATGAGGATTTAGACTGTGCCAGTAGGGTATTAGATTTAAAAGGATAAAAAATGTTTAAGCTTATTCTGCATTTAAAGTGAGAAGCCCTACTTAGCTAATGGGAAATAGAAACACAAGGAAGAAGAGGAAGAGAGATTACACAAAGCATAATACAGGCTGGATGGCAAGTAGCAGACAAAAGCAAGTAGAAAATGTAAGGTAAATACCCTTGTATCTTCAATTCAGTTAATTTAGAGATGGAGCTGATCATTGTTGACACCTCAATTTCTTTGAAAAGAAACTGAAACTTGAAGTCCCCTAGAACTTCTTTGCCTTCAGGCATTTCTAGTTCTTTTGTGTAGGAAAACAGGAACTAAATCTTAGAACGCAAGACACAAACATTAAGGAGGATTTCAATTTAACAGACTACTGGTACACGAACCTGGAAGCATCTCCACTGTAACCTGTATGTACCACTACACTGTTTTATCTTATTTTTAAGGATGAAGGTATTGTAACGTATTATTTCTACCATTTAAGTTTCCCTCACACCAGAAGGGCAGATAAGGCATATTTGTAAGGCCCTTCTTATGATGGGTTCAAACCTCAGTCAGAATGCAAGACCCTGACGGCATGATATAATGCTGCCACTTGTTTGCTGACACCTTAACGTAACAGAAGAAATTCAGGCTGTCAGAAATACAACGAACGTGGAGTTCACAATATTCCATCTTTGCCCTCCGGATGATTTCCGAGGCAGGGAGAGTAAACAGCCTTCTCCCAGCCTTCTAAGTTTCCACAGCTGAGAGTGTAGGATGTTTACAGTACCTGTCACTCAGAACTCTTGAGAGCAGACCAAATGTCAGCAGACTTAGTACAGACTTCATCGCTGACTGCAGGAAACATGCAGGCATCAAGTGAAAGGAGGAGAAAACCTCATACCCGTGACTATTTTACACCACACGAATCCTGAACAAAATTAAGTCCTTTGTGCATTCGTTGGGAGGCGTAAGAAAGAAGATCATGATAAAGCTGAGCTGCAGCATCTCCTGAGGACAGCCACTCTCATTGCCACAGCTGTATTACAAGGCTTCCTGCCGGTTCACTCCAGAGTGCTCCCGAATCTCTTCAAGTTGTGCCTGCAGCAAAGAGAGAATTCATCATTTTAATGAGTGCACATGAATATACTAACTGGAAAAAAAAAAAAAAAGAGACTCAGGTAGAAAAGACTTGTGGATTCCACAAGTAAAAGCTATCATGTAATTTATCTAAAGGACTGGAAGCTTTTAACACAATTTAAGAGCAGTACCCTACAGTGCTGGCTTAGAGGAATACACACAATATCTAGCTCATTTTTAATTATCAGAGGAATGATGGGTTTGGGGTGTCTTTGAGTACCATGAGGAAAAGGATGCATTTAAAGATTATGGCTTGATAAGCTTCAGTGTCCAATTATACAATAACAGATGACTGTAACAGCAGTCTAGATATGTTTGAAATGATACATTCCTCTCAGAAACAGATAAAGTATTCAGTTCCTTTAGATATATCATCTCCAGGGGAAAGAGAAAAGGAAAAAATAATAATAAAAAAAAATAAAACCCAAGATGATCTAATCATACATAGCAAAAGTTCTGCTCATGTAGAATAAAAGCCAAAATCCTCAGAAGAGGGTAAAAATTCACTTAAACAGGTTTTAGTACAACACAAGAAACACTTTGCAAGAAGATTATTAATAGCCTTTACTTTAAAAAAAACATAAAGCATGTGCAAAACCATGTGTGCAAGTAACTGGGGACCTGAATCACCTCACAGAACCAGAACAACCGTAAGTTCAGAAAAGTTTGTTTGCTACTGAATAGGCAGAGGAGCTCTATCTGAGAACTTAATCCATAGAAGGGGTCGCCCCAAACTGTGCTGTTCTCACCAAGCACAGTATCCTAAAAAGCTTTCTGAAGAAACAGCTTACCTCTGGGCTCAACGTATGTTTTAGTTGGACTGAAGTTACTGTTCATGTACAAGTTTCTCCTCTACCATTAGCTGCATCTCATTCCAGTGCTTCTGGAAATCAGGTCACATATCTAAGGGCCCTGTTCCCGCAGTCACAAAACCCCCGTTGGCTTTGCTCAAGACAAAAAGCTACAGCAGCAGGAGAGAGAAAGAGGGGGACGATGTAATTGCATGCCCCACTTTTGAATTCACAGGAAGGCACAGGAGATGCACAGGAACTTGAAAAGCTGAAATAATAAATGAGAAGGTACAGATCACCTTCAACTTCCAGTCTGCTACAAAGCAATAGGAACTGCAGCAGCAAAGGCTGAACATTTCTGACCAAGAGATTGCAAGAATGACAAGGCTTCCTTCTCGAGCTGTCCCTGAGGAAGAAACGAGTCCTCTGCTCAGCAGCTACGTTTCTTACACTAGTGCTACGCTCAGAAGATGCAGCTTCCCCTAAAAACTCCACTCAAGAAATGCTGTCTAGGGCCAGGCCTTATACTTCTCATTCAAGGCTTTCCAGATGAAGTATGATTTACAGAAGGGACTCCAACCCTTGACAAGAGAGAGCAGAAAATACAATACCGCTGTGGTTTCTGACTGAAATTACCACGGCGCTCTCATCCTTTGGCAGACAGGCATCTGATACTTCTATTGTTAACAGAGCCGATTTTGATCCTCTAAGGGCTATGATGAAATTCTTCTTTATCTATTACTCAAGTGATGAATCATATCATCATCTGGATTTGCATCTTTTATGACTGTTGGTTCGAACTTTTACTTGCTATCGTTTTATTTTCCCTGTACAATTCAAACTTTGGGTCTTAAAATCAGACATAACTTTGAAAATAAATATATAGAAATTAAATGGAAACTTAAAAACTATTTACATCTCTCTCTCAGCACTATCTCCGTAAGACCAAAAAAACACAACCATGTAAAATATAGAGATCAAAAACTGTTTTTTTTTTTTTTTTTTGCTAAGGAGAAAGCAGTAGGGAAATAAAAATCTGCTTTGCCTTTTTTTTCTACAGGAATAAAGAAATCTGCTTTCAAAATATGCCTATGAACTATTGTAGCTATTAGATTTATATCGCAGAAAATTGATGAGAGGCAGTGCAATAGCAGGGAACATACTGTCTGCGCACAAAGAAAGAAAACTTATCAAGGCAAATGGTGCAGTGACAAGCAAATACTCAAACAGGTGAAGAAAAAGCAGCCCTGAAATTCAGAACAAGAAATATCAGAATAAATGCTACGCAATATATTGTCTGATATTGTTACGGAACGCCACAATCCCTTTTGAAACTCGCTGTGTGTTCTTTTCAGCTTCTAAATGAATGATACAAGCAATTCAGGACTTTCAAGTCAGTTTTGCATATATGTTTCAGAAATGCTGCCCACCAGATATTCGTAACAACTCCAAGCAACCTGAGGAAATCTTCTGATAAACACCGCATTTATACTCCACACATTCCTACTCTGAAGGGATTGCATTCAAAATGAGTGACAGGAGAACACGACAGCAATTAGATGATCACATTAAACACAGGTCCAGTATTTCTACAGCTTCCCTATCACCTGCCTTTGACTTCCGAGCCACTTCAGGCGACTATTTTATTTTAATCAACACTTAAGAAGTCTGAAGAATGGTTGTAAGGTGAGATACACAGGGAAGGGCAGGGACTACAGTACATCATGCTCCTTTGCCAAAGGGGTAGGTGCTGACCACACGTTAGGCACAGTTCCTCATTGATGTTTGAACAGCCAGCAGCAAAGAAAACCAGCTGTCATTGCAAAGCAGGTCCTTCCTACAGCTGTCTGAGAAGGGAAAAAAATGGTGATTTGCCAGCCAAGTCCTGCACGGGGCTATGCTGGAATTCAGCAGCTAAGGGCAGGCACCGCTGGTACAGCCAGCCATGTGGGTGACCGTGGTCTCAGCAAAGATATTACAGAGGTAAGAACAAGCTGCTGCAGTGAAGCCTTCCACCCCAGGTCTCAAAGAGGCGAGGAGCTAGTGAAACTCTGTTTGGCTGACCCCAGAAGCTGCTCTCCTTCCCTTGGCTGCCCTACACTCACAGGGATAGGGCTGTAAAAAGTAATACAGAGAGTTATGAAGGAAGTGGCTGCTGACAGAATGTAGTGTAGGGACAATGACAAAGAAAACCACCCTCAAAACCCAAGTGAAGCAGTGCCCCGCTGTCACCTAGAAGAGATCCGGAGTTGCACAGTACAGGTCACATCATGAGGGGACTGCCAGTGTTCGCTCACTTTATTTCACAATGAAGCATGAGACGGAAGTACTGAAAAAAACCACATCCCTATTCAATTCCCTGTCTAGCAAGTTCGATATTTAATTGCTTGTGAAGGCAGGAAGTTGGGTGCCAGCACACCCAGATTACTCACTGCTCACTTCACAGAGTATTTGTTACAATCACTTGGTTATAACACCCAACAGTACAGGTATAATACCCATACAGCCTGATAAATGAATGATGTCTGCTACTTTCCACACATTCATTACCACTAAAATGGGGAAAAGTCACTGAACATTGCAGGTATTATGGCATTAGCTAAACTAACGAGGCACTATTTACATGGTAAGCCCCCTTACTACCTCTATTTACAAATGAGAGCTTGAAACTGTCCAAAACCACTCAAAATTCAACTATAATGCACACATCTATAATACACACTGTAGGCATCCTTCATGCTTAGCTGGAGTCCAGTGGATCCCCCTTTCCTACGTCTCCATCCTTTCACAGCCAGACAAAAAGCCTGACACAGCTATGAAGACTGCAAACTGCTCACCTCCTTTTTCTCCTTCTACACGGAGCATTTCCCTCCAAATTGTCAAGATTTTTAATTATTTTTTAATTATTTTTTTCCACCTGCCTCCTCCTGGAAGCGTGTCCAGCGACTTCTGTTCCTGGTAATATTACTCAATTGCTCACAGATCACAGCAATGAATTATTGTTTTCTCCCCATTCAGAGCATTCTGCATTATATTTTGGAAGCGTGTACATATGTATCTGAATAGGTAAAGAGAAACCCCAGGATATATAAAGGGGAAGACAGAACATGGAGATGCACCTCAGAGATCTCCTTTAGCAACTGCCGATTACCCAAGGCTTCAAAGAAAGAAAACTATCCCATTAATTTCCCTCATGAAATAGTCCTTTACAGCACTTTGAGGAAGGGGGTGGCAGGGCTCCTCCATGCAACTGCTACAAGACACACAAAATTAAAAACAAGCCTGAAATTAAAGGTCTGAATACATTTTTAAACTAGCTAAAAAACATTATTTTCAGCAGTTTTAAACTATTTTTCCCCCTTCAAGTGTCGGAAGCAAGGTAGTGAGAAAAGAGCAGCCACCAAACAGAGCCATATTTTTTCTAAGTTCAGTGAAATACAGAAGAAAGCAGACTGTAAATGGGTAATTGCCTGATCTCCAAGTGAAAAAGGTTTGAAACACAATTTAACCATACAAACTGCCACCAGATGTCAGTACAACCTAGAAAATTGATGGTTCAAGCTTCCGCACCAGGGTATTTATTGCAAAGCCCCAACTGTTAGGGTGCACAGATCCAGCGTGGACATCAGCCCTGAATGGAAAGTCGAACAAAATAGAAAAATCGCACTTCAATATTGAGAAACAGCCCTTGGGGCTTAGCAGATAGGCTTATTTGATTGTTATCAAGGGAGGCAAAAGCTGAAATACAAGGCTGTAAGGACAGATCAGTTTCTCTGGGTGCAGGACACCAAGAAGCAGCTTCAGATTCAACCACCTCCGATTAAGGTTCAATCCCCTGCTCCCTCACACCCCAGCCATGGCACGCGTCTCTGCCCCCCACTTCCACGTTCAAGGCTGTTCCCAAATACCTTTAGTTTCCTCAGATGCTGCTGCTAAGCATTGGTGAATATTTAGCAACAAGGTTGCTACGCTAAATAAAACTTTTCTGTGAAAGGAGGATTAGCACGGTTGTCCTTGTGCTACAGCAGAAACTCCTCCCCTGTTCTGCAATGTTTGACAAGAGTTCAAGTGTTCACGAGTGTCTCTGGTTGAGACGGATCTACTCAGAAATTTCTGATAGCAGGGTTTACCTCATTTCTGCATGCAAATAAGTATCCAAATTAGCATTTC